TGGCACGGGTGGAGGTGCTGCCGTGCCTCGTGCTCCGCGCCGGGCTCGGGGCGCTGTCGGAGGCTGCAGGGGATGGAATGTGTTCCTGCTCGTCGTGCTGCCGGAGCTGAGGTTTGGGATGGGGCCGGCAGGAGAAGGGGTGATCCCCGTGTGATGCAGCGCGGGGGTGGCTCCGTGGGCTGCTGCCAGGCTCGGGGGGCTGTACCCTGCTGGAAAACATCGGATATTCCTCCTCTCCCGGGTGCTCCTGCGATGCCCAGCTGAGGCAGAGGGAGGGAGGCTTGTGCCAAGGAAGGTTTTGGGGGTCTCAGCAGCCCTGGCTCTGCTCTGGTGGTTGGTTTGTGCTGCACTGGCACCTTCTGTTGCGAGGAGCCGTGAGGTGCTGCCAAACTCCAAGGTAAAAAGCATCCCCTCCCTGATCCCACAGAGATTCCTGCTCAGAGGGTGCTGCAGGAGGTGGATGCTGTGGGTCCAGTCCCCCTTTTTGGGGGCTCTGACCCTTCCCCTTTAGCCACCCCTGACCTTCCCATGCTGCTGGTGACAGTGATGTTTAATCCAGCTTGACCAGCCACGGCTTCCTGCCAGGAAAATGGGGCAGGAGGGGGGGTGGGAGTTCAGTGCTGGAGCTTTGGCAGGTATAAAGAGAAAAGCCAAAAATCCTTCTGTGTTAATCTGCACCGGGGATCTGCACCTGGTGCTTTGCACAATGCAAAGCTCTGCTGTTCCAGCCTGCAGGCCCACAGGGCCCTGGTTGGGGGGGAATAAATACAACCCCCTCACTCTGTATTTTGCCCCAGCATCCTATTAGTGCTGTAAAGACACAAAAATCCAGGCTCAGCTATTGAACCCTTTATGATCTGGGGTCTTTAACCCCTGACCCCAACGTGGCACTAAACAGACCCAGGAAAACTCCAGACCACAGAGCCCAATAAATCTGTCCCATCCCTTAAATCCACTTAAAATTCTCCAAGGAGGAGACTCAGCCCCACAAATCAGTGCAGATGCAAATTTATGGCCTGTCCTGGGATAAATGGGTTTTTCTACTCACAAAGCTCTTGCCCTGAGGGTTGGCTGGGACAAGGTGAAGGCGACCTTGTGGTCGTTCAATTAGAGCAGGGAATGAAGTTGTTGGCCATGCAAGGAGGGAAATGTGAGGACAGCCTGTGGAGAGGGGAGATAAGAGGCACAGCAAGGCCAGGGCAGGACTGGAGGTGCAGCAGGTTATGAATGGAGAGAGAGGATGTGGTTTTCTGTTTCCTTTTCTGATTGCTATGGAATAAAGAGCTGAAAAATGGGCTTCCTGCGAGGCCAAGATTGAGGGAATTCCCCTGGCCACTGAGGCTCTGCCAAGTCCTTTGCTCTCTCCCCTCTTGCTGGTTGGTATCAACAGTGTAAATACTGGTTTTTCAGTGATTTTTTTCAGGCTGTAGGAGTTGGTTTCTAGGAGGTCTTCAGGTGCTTTGCTCACGGGTCCCTCAGTGGCCCCTCCATGGGGAAACTGAGTCACAGGGGTGTCACCTGGAACTGGGATTTTTCTCCCAGATCAGAGGAAAATGCTGGATATTGAAGGAAGAGCTGAGCTCTTCCTGCAGCAGCTGGGCTGGACTGATGCTTGGGGGTCTCGGGTGGGAGTACAAGGGGCATATTTATTGCTCAGAAATGCTTTTGCCCACAAAAAGGAGAATAAACCCTTGTTTCCCAGAGCTTTGGCTCTCTGGCAAGAAAGGGATATAGAGTTTTTATATGGCTTCAGCAGTGAGTTAAAACTCTTCTTCAGCCTGAAGCTGAGAGGAAATAAAAACCCCCCACAAGTGCCAGGCTTCCTTTGTCGTGAGACTGGGGCAGCTCAGGGACTCCTCCCTGTCCCTGCAGGCAGTTCATGTCTGGGGAGAGCTGAGATCACCTGATGGAAGGGGATGGGAGCAAGCTCAGATTCCAAGAAAACAGCCCGTTGTGGCAGGGAGAAGATGAAACAATCACTGCAGTGGTGGCTCGGGTTTATCTGGAGCTCAGGGCAGCAGGAAGCCACGGGAGGGGATGGGAAGTTCCAAAGCTTGCAAACAATGAGTTCTTGGCCCGGTGTCAGAAGTAAAAGCGGGTTTCTTCTGACCCTTCAAAGCGAGATTGTGATCTGGAAACACCTGTTTTGTGTTAAGACCCAGAATTAAGAGAACAAACTGCAGCTGGGCTGGAGGCTCTGCACATGTGGGAGCTCTGAGAGCTCATCAGATTCAGCTGACGGCCCTGGGGCTCCTCCAAATCCTTGTATATTTGGCTCACCTGTGTCCCAGGGCTCTCTGTGCTCCCTGGGAGACATTTTTGGCACCTCATGGGGCTATGGGAGAGCGTCAAGAGTGGTCTGCAGAGGTGTGATGTGCAACAAAGCACCTTCTCCTTTCCTCTGCAAACACCATTTGTGGCCCCGTGGATCAGCCCATGTGTAATTTGGCTCCCACACAGGTGCTTTGGCTTTCACAGGTACTTTGTTGCTGTTAAAACAAGCCCCAGACTTCTCCCTCCCTTCCCTGCCTTGAGGTGTTTGCCTTTTATTAAGAGCCTTTTCATCCCAGAAACTAATAGGAAAATAATTTCCTGACCCATATCTCAGTTTTGCCCAACTGTGAAAGGCTTTTCAGTGACTTTTAGAATTGTTTGGTGGGGATACAAATGGAATATATATATATATATATATATTATATATGTTCAAATAATCTCCTCCCAAATGAATTGAAGCGATATGGGGACAAATGCAATATATATATTTTATGTATATATTTAAATAATCTCCTCCCAAATGAAGTGATATAGGCAGTGCTTTGCTTCCTTGGCCTTCACATCGTTGAGTAACCAAATTAATCTTGTACTTGGTACCTCTGAAAGCTTTATTTTAATTCCCAAAGATTGGGAGCCTCGTGGAAGGTGGGAGAACCAAGCAGGAGGGGGTCTGCAGTGGGATTTTCAATGATGCTTTGCCAAAAAAAGTGTGAAGAATTTTAAGTGCAGGGCAATTCTCTCATTCTCTCTCATCTCACCCCCCTTCATTGTAGGGGCAAATCCTGGAGGAACATCTTTCCCCCAGCCCTGAGCCTCGTCCACAGCACAACAGCAGCTGGAAAGACAGGATTCCTGCAGTCCTGCACTGCTTAGTCAGGAGAGGGAACACCCTGGGATTGCTGGGAGAGGAGCCCAGCTCCTGCTCCAGCCCTGGTTGGACACCTCTGGATCTGTGTCTGGATCTGGGAGGATCCTTCTCCCCAGGGGAAGCTGCTCCGTGCAGGCTCTTGGGTTTTCTTCTCTTCTCCCCAGCCCTGAGAGCTCCAGGCACAGGCAGACCCGAGGAGGGGGATGATGCCAGTGGAAATCACCCATTCCTGGTGTCAGTTTTTTGGGAATGGAGGGTTTGTGCAGGCAGGGACAGCTCAGAGTCACCTTGCTCTGTGCATGGGTTTGGAAAGGAAGTATTCCAGGAGCCTCCTGCCCCTCAGGAGCCCACCTGACCTTCAGGATCCTGACCTCAGAACCTCCTGCCCTGCCACCTGACCTTCAGGAACGTCACCCAGGAGCTGATGCCTGGCTCTGGCAGCACCTTCCCGTGGATTTTTATCCTGGCCTTTTATCCTGCTGCCTCTCACACTCTTGTCTCCCTGAGCAGGGGAAATAAGATCCTTGTAATGACTCTGCCATAGATCTTTATTAGGGAGAGAAGCCAGAGTTCATCTTGTGTGAGATGCTGTAAAATTGCTGCTCCCGTGAGCTTTCCTTCCAAAGCATCCCCAGGGGATCCCTTTCCACCTTGTCTATTGGCAAACCCATTTTGTGCCAATCCTCAGGAGATCTCTGGGTGGAAGTGGCTCATATGGCAGTAACCACTGCAAAGTGACTGCAGGAGCCAAGGGGACTGGAGGGGCTCCAGGAGAGCTGGAGAGGGACTTGGGACAAGGGCTGCAGGGACAGGACATGGGAATGACTTCCCACTGCTAGAGGGCAGGGATAGATGAGATATGGGGGAGAAATTCCTCCCTGGGAGGGTGGTGAGGCCCTGGCACAGGTTGCCCAGAGAAAGCTGAGGCTGCCCCTGGATCCCTGGAAGTGTCCAAGGCCGGGTTGGACGGGGCTTGGAGCAACCTGGGCCAGTGGAAGAATGTCCCTGCCCATGGCAGGGGGTGGAATGAGATGACTTTTAAAGTTCTTTCCAGTGCAAACCATTCCATGATGGTTTACCAAGGTGAGAGTCCACGTCTCCAGCTCTCCAGGTATCCAAGCCCTTGTGTCTGTCCTGACCTTTGCCTGCTGCCTCTTGCTAAACTTCCAGCCACACGCTCAGTTTTCCAAGGGAGCTCCTGCTTTTCTCAGAAATCCGCCTTTCCACGGCAGAGTTTTGGGGCAGTTTGTGCTGATTACCAGCCCTGCTGGGTCTGGGCACCCCGGCTCATCAACCCCCCCGTGGCCTGGGCCACTGTGAGGATGCAAACCCCACCGTGGCTCTCCTGACTCATGTGAACCAGCAGCCCTGACTCCGATGGGAAAGGCATTACTCACGTGAGCCTGTTTGCAGGGATCAGGGCTCTAATTACGGGGCTGCAGCGTGGGAACCAGAGCCATTAGCCCCTCAACCCTCCAGATCATTCCCAATACATTAATGTTTCCAATTAGTTGGAGCCTGGTGCCTCTCTCTCCAGGATGACAGCGCTGCTGGTCCTCGCTCGTGTTCGCTCTGCGTGCCGGCGCCTCATTATATAATGATACAGTCTGTGGTGTAATCCCTGCTCCCAACTGGCTGGGGGATTTCTGCATGTGCCTCATCCAGAACTGATTAGGCAATGGAGGAGACTGGCAAATGAATGTTTGGGTCACATCCTTCCTAATCAGCTTGGAAGCCTCCAGTGCAGGGAGTGTGTGTGTGTGGGGGGGGGTTGGGCAGGGGAGGACCCCGGAGCTGTTGGGGCCGTTGGGGACCGTTGGGGGGTTGAAACCCGTTGGCAGCTCTCGAGCGCCGAGCTGCCCCTTCCCTGGGGTTTTGCTTTCAGTTCCCAGTCCCTTCTTTCCCTTCCTTCCAAGGAAACCATCTCCACGGCAACCTCAAACCTCCGGGCTTTGCCTGGGAGCTGCTCAGCCATCCCCGGGACCCCGGTAAGTGGCTCGGGCAGGGCCGGTCCCGGTGGCCCTGTTGGCTCCTGGGTCCAGCAGGCTGGTGTGGCCTGGGGAGGCGAGGGCTGGAGCTGGGCTTGGCAGGGGGGTGGGCAAATAAAACCCTGTCTCCTCATCCTCAAGGCTTTGTATGGCTCTAACCTGGGTGTCCATGGCTGTCCTGGTGCGGGGAGAGCTCTGCCCTGGTGCTGGAGGGGGTGGATGGGTTCGGGATGAACCCTCGGGCTGTTCCCCTGCAGAGACCCTGCCCGGGGCCGGGGACGTGTCAGGGTGTGGTGGCTGGTTGTGTGTCCTTTGGTGACGGTCTTGGATAGACCGTGAGCGAGCCTGATCCCAGTTTTCCATCTTTTCCGTCGTGTTAGGGAGAGCAGCAGCTGGAGACAGGGACTCTGTCCCCTCTTGGAGCTGCCCGGGCTCTGTGGTGTCACAGGGATCACCGTGGGGCTGAGCCTTGTGCCACCACATGGGCACATCCCCGGCGCCACGTGGAGGGTGACGATGCACCAGCCTGGTGGAAACGGGTCCTCTGAGATGGGGGGGCCTTGCTGGGGGCTCGGGGTTTGCTGGCAGGGTAACTGGGATAAAAGTTGTGGAACTGGAGGGGAAAGCGATGCGTCAGGACTTTTCCTGGAGCTGGTTTTGGGGCTGGGAGCTGAACTGGAGTGTGGTGGGGGCTGACCCTGCCTGTCCCTCTGTCCCCCAGGGCAGGATGAGGCTCCTGAGCGCCGTGTTGGTGGCTCTCAGCCTGTTCCTCACCGGTGTCCGGGGGAACCACACTTCCCGAACCTGCATCTTCCAGACACTCAGCGACTCGGACAAGGACTTCTGCAGGTGAGTGATGCTCTGTCTCCTTCCTCACCTGCACCAGCCCTGGACATCCCACCACGGGCTGCCCTCAGTGTCCAGTGTGTCACCTCCTGGGACAGGAATTCCAGTATCCCCTTTGCCAGCACTATAAACACTGACTGTTTTCCTCCTTTGGCCAGGAATCCAGGCTGTTTCTGACCACCTCAAGTTATTCCCTGGCCTGTCGTGTGGGGGCTTTAAAAGTGACTTTTACAGAATCAGGGATGACAGGATGCTGTAGAAAAGACTGCTTTTCCATACAATCCTGGCATGGTTTGCTTGGAAGGGACTTTAAGGATCATCTTGTTCCACCCTCTGCCATGGGCAGGGACACCTCCTGCTAGCCCAGGTTGCTCCAAACCCTGTCCAACCTGGCCTTGGACACTTCCAGGGATGGGGTGTCCTCTGGGAAATCCATTCCAGGGCCTCACCACCCTCACAGGGAGGAATTTCCTCCCAGTACCTGGTAATGAAAGTTTAAATTCCTGCTGCTGCCCGGGAGCAGGAGCAGAGGTTCCGTCCTGTGTTCGCTGCACCACCTTTGGATTCCCCCCTTTGGATTTTCCCCCCCTTTGGATTTTCCCCCCCTTTGGATTTTCCCCCCCTTTGGATTTTCCCCCCCTTTGGATTTTCCCCCCCTTTGGATTTTCCCCCCCTTTGGATTTTCCCCCCCTTTGGATTTTCCCCCCCTTTGGATCCCCCATTCCAACCCCATCCCGAGCCCGGCTGGGATGTGGTGCCCGATTCCCACCTCTGGCACCACTGGGATCTCACCTTGCCCTCTCTTCCCTCTTTTCCAGAGGGGATTTGGAAGTGATCTACCCCGACGTGGGGGACGTGTCCTGCTCCTACGTCCCCAAGTGCCACGGCTACCGGCGGCGGCTCAGCCGGGAATGGGGCAGCCCCCACGTCCGCTACTCCTGGGCTGAGAAGGTGAGTCCTGCTCCAACTTCCACCTTCAAGGAATTTACTGGCATTGGGGTGACTTTTTTTCAGCCTTTTTTCCCCCGTTACTTCAGAGCTTTTGTGCAAGTCTGAGCATGGACAAACTTTTTTTTTCCCCGACATCCTGGCCATTTATTATTATTTTTTTCCCACATCGTGGCCGTTAAATCATCTTTTCCTGCAATCACACTTTTGTTTTTACTACCTTGAGGCCACTTTTAAATATTTTTTTTTTGCTACCCTGGCCATTTCCTAAATATTTTGGCTACGTTGCAACCATTTTAACAAATATTTCTGCCACGCTGTAGCCATTTAATAAATATTTTCGCCATATTCCAGACATTCAATTAAAAATATCCTCTGCCTTATAAACGTTATTTTGCCTACCTTGTAGCCACTTATAATATTCCCTACATTGTGGCTACTTAATCATTTAAATTTTTGCCACATTATGCCCTTCTAAAAGTATTAATTATTTTTTTTTTGTATTGTGACCATTTTATTAAGTGGCCAGAATGTAACAAAGAAATTAAATACCTTTTTTTTTGCTACACTGTGACCACTTAATGATTTAAAATTTTGCTATATTTGGCCACTTAATGATTTAATTTTTTTGCTGTGTTGTGGCCACCTAATGAATTTAATTTTTGCTGTAGTGTGGCTATTTTTAAAAAATTAATTAAACGGCCACAACATAGGGGAAAATATGAACTAAGTGGCCTCAGTGTAGGAAAAAAATTAAATAATTTTCTTGCTGCGTTGTGGCCGCTGTAAATTTTTATTTTTTTTCCTATGTTTTGGCCACTTCAATGTTTTTTCCTCTGTTGTGGTCATTTAATTTTTGGTGTATTCTGGACACTTTTATTTTATTTTTTTTTCCTCCACTTTGGCCATTTTAATTTAATTTTTTTGCCACCAGAAAAAAAAAAAAGGAAAATATTTTTACGATTTTTTTTTTTTTTTTGGTCGATATTTTTAAAGACCATCCCACGCTCTGGCTTTGATATCTGGGATTTGACGTTTCCAGCCGGTGCTGCTGCGGGATCCCGATGGAATTCGGGATGAGGAGTTGGGGGGGGGTCCCGGTGCTGCAGTTCCACCCTGATGCCACCAGGTGGTAGCATTGAACTTCCCAGCGCCGCCGGGACTGGGAGCGACTGGGAAAACTGGGAGCGACTGGGAAAACTGGGAGCAACTGGGGGACTGCTGGGCGTGCCCTGGGCAGGGGAGCAGGAGGACAAGTGGGAGCTGTTCAGGGAGGGAATCCTGCCCGCCGTGTCCAGCTGGGTGTCCGAGGATGTGGTGGCGTCGACTCTCAGCGTTCCTAAATCCCTGTGAAATCCTTGCTGGCACCCCAAGAACTCCCAAATCCCAATAAGTGCCGTGTTTCCCGTCGCTGGCTCCAGCCCTGGCTCAGCTGGATAAGGGAAAACTCACTTCTCGTGTGCCTCGGGGCGTTAACAATCCGTTTTTCCGACTCTTCCTCGCCGTCTGGGAAGTCTCTTCCCCCCCCCGTGGATCACATGGTTTGAAGTAGAACTTTTCCTTAAAGATGTCTGATTCTTCCAAAATAACCCTCCTTCCTGGCAGAGGCTGCTGCACACGGGATCATCCGTCGGCCCCGCGGCGCTTTCCAGGAGTTTGAAGTTTCCCAGAGATTGTTGTTTCCCAGGCAGTTGTTTTTCCTTTATGTTTTAGTCCTGGAAAGCAAAGCCCGGCAGGGAGAAGGGAAGGGACTGGCTGGTGGATGTGTCTCCGTTGGGTGAACGGTGCTGCTGGGCTGGGGGAGGATTTTAGGGATGAGAGCCAGACCCTTCCCCGCTGTGCCAGGGGGATGCAGGCTCTGCATCCCTGAGCCCAAAAACGAGGGCAGGGGAGTGAACATCCCCAGTTTGGGTTTGAGAGCCGGGTGTGTGTCACCAGCACCCGTTTATTTTGGGATGGGATGCCAGCTGTGGCCCAGGGAGGGGGGCAGATCCCTGGGGAGCCCCTCCCAGGGGGGCCAGTGGCTCCCGCTGGCATCAGGGCTGGCTCTGCTGATGGATTTGGCACCGTTTCCTTCCAAGACATCTCAGCACATCTTGTGCTCAGGCGGCATCTGAGGACACGGGTCCTGCTGCTTCCCGTGGTTTGTGTTGATTTTTCTCCTCTGGCCCTTCCCAAAAAAAAAACCCCACATCCCCAGCTGAACATTCCAACTTCATCCAGGGTTAATTTTGGGCAAGGGGCTGGCCGGCCTTAAACCCATCACAGAGAACTGGATCTGAAATGCTTCATACTTTTCTTTATAGGAATATTTCATTCTCTTACTCCTGAACCCGTAAGGATGCTTCAGCATAATATTATTCCCTCAAAAAAAAAAAAAAAAAATCACCCTAAATCGAGTGGGAACAAGAGTTGCGTCACAGGGCTGAGGTGTGTGAGTTGTTTTCGTGGATTTTCGAAGCCCAGGAAACTTGGATTATCCTTTATTTGTTCCCCGAGTGAGAAGGGGAAACCTCACTTCCCCAAAGTTGTCTCTGTCCTCCACGTGATGCTCCCGGGCACACGAGAGGCTCAGTGATCCCTGGCTGGGGTGCTGAGGGCTGGGTGAAGGGCTGGAGATGCTTTTTTTTTTCTCCACCCGAATCAGCGGCAGAAAAACTCAGGGTTTGAGGATGCAAACTTGTGTAGGAAGTGTCGGCTCTCTGTGGAACACTTTGTCTCTTCAAGAAAAACAACCACCAAAAAAGCCAAATGCGGAGTGTTTGTTTTTATCTCTGGAAATATTTATCAGTTTTCCGAGGAGGGAGGGAGGGAATGGGATGTTTCCCGTCCTTGTCCCAGATACTGGTGATGGATTTTGGGAGGGGGGTCAGTCAGGTTTGACCCTGCCTGTGCCCAAGGTCTCCCCTCCCAGCCTTTGGTGCTCCTTGATGTTTTTGGGTGAAGGGCCTTAAAGTGAGGTGGCATCTTGCAAAGCTGAGCTCTGGTGGCATCAAAACCTGGCCTGGAGGACTTTATACGTTGTTTTATGTGTGGTTAGAGTGGTTTTTAATTTTCCATGATGCTTGTCCAGTTTGAACACTGGGCTGTTAAAACCAGCTCTATCAAACATCACTTCTGCTGCCCCAAAGACCCATTTTTGGACTCTTTTGATGCAGTGAAGGCAGCTGTTGTGTCTGGCTGCATCTCTGAGAGCAACACAGGCAGGCAAAGGAGTAAGGGATGCTTTGCCAGGCACAGGAGTTTGGTTAGGGATGGTTTGGGTACCTTAGAAACCCTTTGACTGCTGGGCACAGCTTGTGCCCACGTTTTGGGTGGGTGGGATGTGCCTGTCTCCCAGCCCTGTGCTGGAGCAGAGCAGCCAGTTGGTCTGTCCTGGTGTGCAGAGGACTGGGAGTCGTAGCCCTGGGATGCTGGGGATGCTCAGTCCATGTGGGATGCAGCCCTGGGATGCTGGGGATGCTCAGTCCATGTGGGATGCAGCCCTGGGATGCTGGGGATGCTCAGTCCATGTGGGATGCAGCCCTGGGATGCAGGGGATGCTCAGTCCTCACTGGAAGACCCCCTGAACACCAAATAACTTGCTCTGTGCACACCCCACGCACCCTTTGGGTGCCACTGTAAGGTTGTAACACGGAGCAAACCCCAAATATTAAAGCTTCCACCGGCACCTTCCCAAAAACACCCCAGCAGAGGAGCTGCCGGAGGCCCTTCCCCGGGGCCGACGGAGCGGGAGGGAACATCTGGAAAGACGGGAAATGCGTCCTCCTTGCCCTGCCACGATATTGCTTGGCTCGACCAAAAAATAAATTGGAAAAGAAAATTGGCCATTGCATCAATTTGGGGGCGAGTTTATAAATCCTGCAGCTAAGCAATCCCCCCCGAAGATGATGTATCGTCGCATTAACCCGAGCGCCGCGTTCCCTGATTCGCTTTTATTGCCGCGGCTGGTGGCAGACAGAAAAACAGATTACACTTGAGATCAAATCGATGGGAACTTTATTTACCGGCCTTTTCGAACACATATCTCTGGGCTTTATAAAAACATACGGCAGATGCCGTTGATGGGACTTGTCTCCTTGTTAAAAAGCAATTTTACCTGCCGGGAGTTCTCCGGCCGCGGTTTGTGGAGTTACCTTTTACCTGCTCCTCCAGATTTGTTTTCATCCCAGGGTTTGACAACTTCCTTAGTTAGAGGCCTCGTTGGTTTTCTTTTGGGCTGTGCCATGCGTTGTTTAGGATACATGGGAAGGAGTAGGGCTTTTATTCCAGGCAAGGTCCAGGAAAAAGTGCTTTTCTCAGGGTTCCTACCCCAAACTCAACTATTTTAAACTTAAGCTGTTTTTGGAAGAACCCTCTCCTGGCCAAGCCACAATCCACGAGCTACAACTTCTTTCTGCAGCTGTCCAGGTCACTTATTTAAAACCATTTCCACGGTGGAATGAACTGGAGCTGAAAAGGCAGCTGGAGAAGCCCCTGGCTGTGTGATCCGTGGGATGATCCCCTCAGGGGTTCATGCAGCAGCTCTCTGTGCCCAAACCTGTGACCAGCACCCAGGGGTGCTGCCCTGGGGCTGGAGATGTCCTGCCATGGCACTGGGGATCCCAGCCATGCCCAGGGAGGGAAGGGCAGGGCAATGAGCCTCTCCCAGGAGTTTGGGTCGTGCCTGGAGTCCACAGCAAAGTGCACTTGGTTATAGCCCAGCCTTGTCCCCAGTTCTCCCCTTTTTGTGAGCACTTGGTGGCCGAGTTGGGGACAGTCCTGATTTATAAAGGTTTCAGTGCTCTAGGGGCTGGGGCCCATTATTTGGAAAAATCATTTGTATGAGCAAATCCATTAACTTTTAACAAAGGGAGGAGAAGGTCTGTTCAGTCTCCTGTGCTCCAGTTGTGTCAGGAGGGGATTTGCAGCTGGCTGAGAGGGGCCTTTTCCGTGGCACTCAGGTTCAATTTGAGGCTCGTAAAAGAAGATGGTTTTAAGCAGAAGATTCCTGACAGTTTGTG